AAAAATAAGGGTGTTTTGAGAAAAAAACGAATAACCCTGGAGTGCACACAACACACTGAATTTCGGAACAAATCTTGCATTATTTACAGCAGCAGAATACCACAGAAATATCAGACGAAACATGGAAACACTATATATTGTATTTCGGCCTGAACCCTCTCTATTGCAATTCCAGGAATTACACCTATATGTGCACCCATTTTCAACATTGGTATCACCCAACCCTGAAAACAAATTCTTAAAAGCACGCTGAAGCGTTTGGTAATAACACCGAGAAATATATACATTTCTGGTTTAATGGAATCGAATGTGAACTTACGTAAACATGTATTCTGGTCTGCTGCATCCAACTCATATCCTTGCTCACATTGACATTGTTGAACTCCGTCAAGCACATAACATATTCCATTTACACAGCTGTTATTTGCACAAGTCTCCTCAGCTGTAACGAATTCAATGATTAATAGTAAAACATTGCTGTGTGAAATAAACCCATCAACAGTATACTTTTAATTGCCAAATTAGCGAGTTACAAGAGTCCCAATGCATGTTATGTTTAATATAAATCATGTACACATTTTAAGAACAAACATTGATAATGCATATATAACACACTTACGAATGCAATCGCGACCCGTTGTTCCCTGATCCATGAATCCATCAACACATGAACATACATATCCAACAACATTGTCATTGGTTGTTTCTGTATTGGTGCAGTTCTGTGGACAGGTGTGTGTTTCAAGAATACACTCATCGATATCTGAGAGAAACAAAATGACAGTCAGCAAGAATTGTTGTATTTCGTATCAGTGGTCACCTAAATTCTGAAACATAAAGCACCTTTTTGATACTGTATTGTTGAATGGTTTATTTGTATCATTTTGCGTAGATAAACCAAATGCAATGTTTTACGGCCATCACGTCCTCCAAAACGGAAACTGCCGTACTTTGTCAGAGTTTAATAAACTTTACATTGTTCTTGTCTGTTTGTATCTGTGTATATTTGTTTGTTTATCATGTTTTGGTGGAATCTGTCTGTTGACATGGATTTTTCAATCCTAGCCGTGAGTTTATGTAGACAGGGAAGTAATGTTGTTAACGAGAAGATTTGCTCCAACTAGGCTGTTTAATAATGCTGATGTGAAATGGAACATATCAAAGTAGATTAATACAAGCTATATTCTTTAATTAAGACATGTACTTATTAACCTCGGTGTATTTTATAGAATAATATAGCATATATAAATAACATAGGAAAAATATAATTTGATTTTTAAAATAGCGGGAAAACTATATATATATTTGAGACAAATTAATATTTTTAGTGTATTAAATATGTGCATAGATAATTAGGTATTACCTTTGCAGTTGAAACCACCGACATCTATTTCATATCCATCATTACATGTACAATAATAATTCCCCTCTGTATTTACACATGTGTGTTCACATCCTCCATTGTCTACTGTGCATTCATTAATATCTGAATAAATATATTTACAATGAGAATGTATTTCAGTTGTATTATTTATCTGAAACTGTCACATCATTGCAACAATAAAACATGACATCAACATCAGGAAATATTGTGAATATTGTGGAAATAGCTTGTTTACACTTTTGTAGAAACCATGGTCATTATAGTGACATATATTTTCACTAGTCAAAATTAATAACAATACTTACCAGTGCAATTATTTCCATCTCCAGTGTATCCAAGTTTACATAGACAGACATAACTACCATCTGTGTTTTCACATATGTTATTTGACGGGTTGCAATCATTTTGACTAGAAAGAAGACATTCATTTCCATCTGCAATAAAACAAACATACTGAAGTTTAAAGAGGTCGTTCCACTATAAACATTAATATGGTCTTCAGTTGAATTGATAGGAATGATTTTAAATTAATGTGCATTTCTAAACAATTACAACATACATTCCAAAAAGTGCTCAATGTAGTCTTCTACATTAACTGAATTTTTCTGGATGGCCACCATGTGCCATTAGAAATACCATTTTCCGTTGTGCTAAATTTTGTATTTTGAGAGATGCTGAATTGCTAAAATTTGTAAGAATTCAATTTACAGGCAACTTTTCAGGACAGAGTGCACAAACAAATAGGCATACATATTGAAATTAGGTATAACAAATTATGTATTTTTAAGAAGAGAGTTTACTAAAAAATCTTTTTATATTTATTCTTTGCAGATGACGCTTATATATTAGCATTTGGAGAGCCACGGCTCAAAATGTAAATATAGCGTATTTATTATTAGCATTGTTTTATAATTACGTCAATTGTTCCCAAAATTAATATAACAATGTTTTCTTGAAGTGACGTAGGATGTTATGAATATTGGCAAATTGTGAAAAATTCTTGATGCCAACTACAATTGAAACAACAAATCAAACAACAAGCCAGCCAATATTGTAATTTAAACGTTTGGAACATTTCCCACAATTGAAACATAATCTGGGAACATGCATTCAAGTTACACGATTATTCAAAAACACTAATACAATATTTACAATATCAATGAAAACATTAATTAAATGTAATCCAATGACTAATCTAATAATATGCCTTAGTTGGATTTCAAATATATATACTACATATAGTAGACATGAAAAACACTGTTCATCAGATTTCAAAACATTACTCTCTCAATTGAGAATTGCGATATATACATATTAAACAGAATCAGTAGCATAAAATGAATTCCAAAATCATTTAATAAAGCAGATCAATAAATCACACATGTAACATATCTTACCGATATTCTTGAAATAATGTTATTATTGCGCATCTCGCAGTGAACAGAAAACAGATAAACATTGCATATTCACACCCAAGACGATAAAACCACAATCTGCACATACTAACACAGATTACTATCGAAAACCACATGGTGTGAGCAACACAGTAGTCATACGACTCGATTGATGCTGAGTAATACATACGACAGCTGTCAGACGTCATTTAAACAGCGACCAAGATTTTTTTTTCTTCAAAACAAATCAGAAATAAGAAAATTTACCTCAATTATATAGAGCGTCTAAACCAGAATAGGAACAACCTATTTTTAAAATAATAGATCTGATATACCAAAACTAATCAATCAATATCAGTCATCAAAGCCATTACCTTCGCATATGTCATTTGAGTTCATTACATAACCATCAACACAAATACACTTGAATGAACCAATCAGGTTGCTACAGATTGAATTATCTTCACATGAGTGCGTATTTCTTTCACATTCATCAATATCTGAAACAAATTAAAAGCAATAACAGAATACTCGTGGGATTTTTCACTGTAATTGATGTATTTGTCGCCGGTGTATGAAACTGATAGTGATGTAATCTAATACGACATTTAGATGATTAGCCAGTAGTTTTGATGGTTAAGGAACATTGAGGGTTATTACGTACTTTATCCCCCAAAATATTTAACTACATGATTTTGAATATCAGCAAAAACACTGATTGGTAGCTTGCTGATTACAATGTTTGAACTTGCTTTCTTTCTTTCTTTCTTCTTTTTTTTCTTTCAGGAAATTATAAATGAAATAACATTACAGCATAACATACCTGTACAATTTCTAGATTCCCCAAACACCTCTTTTCGTATCCGTTTTTACATATGCATTTGTATGAACCTTCCGTATCTTTCACAATTCGAGATATCACGTGGGCAATCATCACTTGATAGTAAACATTCATCGATATCTTGAAATAAGCCATACACGCATATTTAATGTGCATAAATCTTACTTTGTAACCATGTCGCAACTTAAATAAAGTATACAACAGTGGTTATATAAACTATTTATTTATTTATTTTATTGAGATACTATAGCCATAGCCCCCCCCCCCCCCAATACACGTCACATGTGTCAAAATGTAATGAGGAATAGAATAAATACAAACATTTGGCTAGATGACATATCGTTTGATTGTTGGTAGTACTCATCAACTCAATGAATTTGCCAGGATAAAAATAGTCAAAAATGTATTTTTATCTAAATTCATAAAACGGTTGGTAAGACTAAATTGAAATTCGTCCTGAATATATTATTTTGACAGAATGGTCAAACAAATGTAAAATATAAATCAATATAATAATGGTTATGTACTTACTGGTACAACTGCGAATGGTTCCATTTCCCTCATATCCATCAATACATGTGCATGTATAACTACCAAGTGTGTTTGAACACTTTGCTTTCTGTGGATCACAATCATTCAAGTACACATCATCACACTCATTGATATCTTTACATGTTTCACCATCTCCATGCCATCCTTCATTACATGTACACTGGAAGCTACCAGGTATATTGTGACAACTGGCTTGAATATTACAATTATGACGATCATCATCAGATAATGATAGAGTACACTCATTTATGTCTGCAAGAAAAAACATTCACAATCTCATTTATTTACTTACATCTATGTCAAAGGTAAATTACCTGTTCTTATTTAAGCTAATATCGTGTATATACTACAACTTTTTACCGTACAGTGGCCAAGTATGAATTTAGTCTTTTCATTGACAAACCAAAATTAACAAACAAAAAATACATTTTCATGTATGACATTTAAACACACACACACACCTTGCTTTGAGAAAAAAAATATACAGCAAATAGAATTTATTTACCACCAATAACGATTTAGCTTAATGTTTTACAAAGGTAATTACGAAGTATTACCTTCACAATAACCCGTGGAATTTTTCTCGAATCCTGTAAGGCATATACATTTATGTCCACCTTCAGTATCTTCACATGTACTATATTCCGGACAAGGTGATGATATTTCAATGCATTCATTTACATCTGTAAGATAATGCAATATACATAAGTGCATTCCCTTTAAAACAGGCTGACGTTCTAAAGAACCGTTTCGTGAGTGTACATGAATACAAAATGAGCGATCAATTTTTTCTCACACTGGTTTTTTTACACTCTATTTGGTATAAGGAACTTTTTTTGCAGCTACCTTTTAACTAATAGAGAGTGCGATGTAATTACTTGTCTTAAACATGCTTTGTATTGCAAACGTTTTCAGAGTGTGGTTTAAAATTTACTTGATCAACCTGAATGAAAATATCCATAAAAATATAAGTTCATGTCAGCCTTTGACAAACAATATGGATCGAAAGTTGACAATTTTCATAAATGTCCTATATATATCTCCATTATCAGTAAAGGTAATTTTCTGATTATTTTGACCAAATTTATTTAGTGCCTTCAATGGGGATTGCAGTGTGTGCCTGATCATTTGTTTTAATTCTGTTTGTGGTCAGTCGGTTGGTTGTTTGGGCGGTTGGTTGTGTAATAAAGTGATTTTTATCATAAGACAAACATAATGTGGACAAAAAGGGGGGGGGTTACTTGGAAACTGACAAAAAAAATGATCAGCCGGGTGAGAGGGTTGTAAGTCATCCATAGTACATAACCATAAAGACCTGGGACTGTCTTATGAGGAACCAGCTATAAAATAAATTATTTATGTGTGTTTACTGTTCAGATATACAGGGTTTCTTTTGATGTTTTGGTCATGATTGTATAAATTTCACATTTCATTTGAAATCGTTTACTGTGTGTACGTGTGGTCCAGACCATTTGGTATATATTACAATATGGTATATATTACTGGACAACTTAATATTGTTTAAATTTCTGAGAGGGTAGGGGAATAGGGTTTTCATGTATGTTGAAATCATTTACTCAGTCGGTGAGCCTTTTTTTCATTAAGGTATTATATATTTCCGTCGATGGAGCAGTGCTTTCTTATGCTAGAATTACAATTTGACAATATACTGAGATATTCTGAAAATGGCAAAAACATTAGTGTCATTATTATTATTATTATTATTATTATTATTATTATTATTATTATTATTATTATTGTTATTATTATTATTATTATTTTAGTGTGTATTATCATCTAATACCAGTGGAAAACAAGTCGTCCATAAACGGGTGCCATCCATATAAGTTCATATGACTGTATAGACTCTATGTAATCCAAAGGAATAAAATAATACTTACTTATGCATGTATTATTTCTGACATATTGCTTGTATCCATCATCACATGTGCATATATATGATCCCATAGTATTGACACAGTGAGCATTGTTTGGACACTCAAATAATTGTTGGTCACTACATTCATTGATATCTGAATTCAGGAAAAAAGTATAATTGTTAGAGACATGACATCACTGAAATCACTGATTTTACCTAAATGAAACTGGTCACTGACAGCATCGGATTCATGATCGGTAAACCCACTTTGATTTGAACATTAAAAAAGGTAAACATACTCGCAAAATCAATGGGATTTATTCACTAATGATTGTGACTTAATGGGAACCTTGGTCCGCATTTGCTTGTGTTAGACTTAGTCTAATTAACATCACTATAACGCATTAAA